TTGGGTCCAAAGACACAACTTATCTTGGGTACCGTATTTCTCGTGAGGGTTTGCAAGTTGATCATGACAAACTTATGGCTGTTCTAAAGTTTCCTACTCCAAAGTGTGTGAATAATGTGTAGCGCTTTTTGGGTAAAATGCAGTATCTCAGTCGTTTTGTGGATCATCTTTCCGATCGCACTACACCATGGCGAGCGTTGCTGAAGTCATCAACGTCATCTTTCATCTAGTCTCCGGATTGTGAGCGGGCGTTCATGGATCTTAAAGAGCTATTGACGACTCCTTCGGTTTTGGCATATCCTGACTACACTCGACCTTTTATTTTGCGCGTGGATGCTTCTGACATTGGTCTTGGAAGTGTGTTGATGCAAGAGAGCTCGAGTGTGCCTGGTTAGCGCCATCCCATTGCATATATAAGCCGTACATTACAACCAGTAGAGATGAACTACTCCACGACGGAGAAGGAGTGTTTAGCAGCAGTCTGGGGTTTCGAGAAACTTCATGCATATCTACATGGTTCTCGGACGTTACTTGAAGGTGACCATGCTGCTGTTACTTCATTATTGAAGCGGAAGAACCTGGTTGGTCATACGGCTCGATGGGCTTTGAAGCTTCAAATATATGATTTCGATGTTGTTCATCGCCCAGGGAGTTTTATGGCTGATGCTAATGCCCTTTCTCGAGCTCCTCTTCCTTCTTCACTCACTTCTCATGTTTTTGACAAACCTGTTGTTCCAGCATCTGTGGATTTTCTAGATGAGGATTTTGTGCCGTCGGCAGTTGCTGTCCTTGACGTTCAGTGTCCACAAGGCGCAAAGCAAGATATACCTTCTCTTGATGAGGTTCGCAAGGCTCAAAAGATTGAGCCGTGGATTCGAAGGCTTTGAGATGGGTTTAAGAATCCTGCATCACTTGCTGATGACTTGCCTTTCCGGCATTTACATTTTCAATATCGTCTTAAAGATGGCCTTCTTTATTTTGTGGGGACGGATCCTAATAATCATTTACGGCTGGTGGTGCCTTCGGTGTTTATTCCGCGGTTTCTCCATGCCTACCATGATTCTCCTATTCTAGGTGGGCATATGGGACACCGTCGTATCACTGAGAAGCTACACAGGTCTTTCTATTGGCCGGAGATGCGACGTGATATTATCCGGTATGTGCGTAACTGCGTTTGGTGCCAAGCTTGTAATATTCTCGAGTTAATACCACCTACAGATCCACCGATGCCTCCTCCTGACGTTCCTCCGGATCCCGGCCCATCTTCAAGAGAACCCTGATGGTCTTCCATTATCCTAAGAGAAGGGGATGATGTGAAGGCCAAGTGTACGGTTACGATGCCGTATACTAATATTAGCGTAGTGGGATTTTAATAGCCGTCGGATTGTTTCAATCTAGACCACTCGCTCTTGTATATAAGCTAGGGTTTTTGGGTTAATTAATATGCACATTTCTGTATTCCCTTTCCATATTCCAAGCACTCACAAGCATATAATTGATGGTGGTATAATTGAGATGGATCTAAAGCCTTTTTAAAGATAACATCACAAGTTTATTTACAATTTTGTAAATATTGCTCTTCCATTGAGTAAGTTAGTGAAGGGTAGTATACCATTCATTGAACACTAACTTGTTAAAGTTCTTTTGTACAGTTGAAGGAGATTTTAACTACGGTTCTTATTCTCAAAATCTAAATCTTGATAAACACTTCAAAATGTATAATGATGCATTTTGGTTTTTATTCTTAAGATCCCAAAACTTCATAAATTGTTTGAAGTGCATAATGTTACATTTGGCTATGTCATTGATGCCATGGTGTAACAAGAGTATGATAATATGATTGATATTACACTAAGGTAATGTGGTTGTCCTACCACATTTTATTCCAAAAAATTGAATAAAAATAAATGAAGATGGCTTACATATAAGAAAGAGATGTTTGATATACACTAGAAGGAAGCAAACATATTAGATATAAAACTAGGTATATAAATAAGAAAACTCATATAAATATTAGGTCTTAATTTAAAATGTTTTTAGTTTAGAAAACTATAATACATGTTGCATGTAGCAATACTTGGTTTGCTTAATAGTAGTGTTATTCTTACTTATTAATTTAATTGATCAAATAAAGTTTATAATTATAAGCATATTTGTAATTTATAAACCCAAGATTAATCTTATTGCATATCAACCATTAAATGATAGAATAAAAAAGAATATACTACAAAGAGTTTAAGAAAGTTTATAAATTATAAATTGAGCTATCAAATAAAATATATCAAATTTGGCATTGTTTCAACTTACTTAGACATCCCAAAATGCCAATAAGCAACGGCTTCTTTTTTAGGGTTTTCATCCAAGACAAACCTCAAGTTTCTATTCTTCTTGTAAGAAATGTATTTACTATTTTTTTTGCAACCTCAATTTGAAAGTAGTGTACAGCAATAAAGAACTTAATGATGCATGTTCAATTTACTAGATGAATTCCATTTTGTCAATAGAGATGGTATCATTGCTGCCTGCTAGTAACTTATAGCAATCTCAAATTCTCTTAAAAGAAGAATAAGGAAGTTAAGAGCCATTGATAGCTCAATTTTTTTATAAACTTTCTTAAACTCTTAAGGGAGAGCATCATTTTGCTCCTCTCTCAAAGTCAATAAGGTTGCCTTTGGAATGAGTGTAGTTTGTATGAAACTACAATTATTAAATTCAAAATTGTGCAATGGTCATTCCAAACAATTATATGGAGTGATCTTGATTGTATGTTAGCAGTAAAGGGGTTAAAATAGTGTGTTTCCTCTACATATTTTGTGCACCCCCAAGCATCATCTTTATTTAATACAAAAATTTGGATAAACATTTCTTATGTACTACTTATATGCTGTTTGATAAAAAAACTTTTTTTTAAACATTTATATAGGCCTATTAGATTAGGACTAAGACAGGTGGTAGTGGTACTCTAGAAATTGCTAGAATTGAAGTTATACTTCAAAAGTAATTTAGAAATAAAATAAATTTCATGTTAAGAGATTCAATCCTTATTGCAGCCTATATGATTTGTAAAAATTCTTCCCCACCAAATAAGGTTTGGAGCTACAGCTTCATATATCATAAAGCTACAGTCATCTTCAATGGTAATATATGTAAGAAAAATGCATTTGTTGCAATATTTTTCAATAGACCATAACACTTGGTTTATTTCAGTATATATAACAAGACTTCCATCAGTTTGCAAGATAAGTTCACAATTACCTTCAAAAAAGGAAATATTTTCAGATTCCCATAAGAGATTTTTACCTGAAAAAAATACAAGCTGGCAATTTGATGTTAAGTATAATATATTTCTACCATTAGATGATACTATAAAGTTGCCTTTTAATAAACGGAAATCTTTAAAACCAGAATTTAAAGTGGTTAAACTTGTATCACAATCTTTTTCACTAGAATAAATATATTTATAAGAAAATGGAAATAAATTTTGAGGACTCCACATAAACTGGAGACTATACTCAATTATATGATTTGTTAATGTTATTTTACATTTATCTGCTTGTTGTGATAATAATAATGATTTATATTTATTAATTGTATATATTAAACCATCTCTTATTATGGTACCATATACATATTTTGTTTTTAATTTTCCAGATTTACAATTTATTCCTAAACGTTCAATCCTTACAAAAATTACACCTTTGCTAACATCAACCATTCTTGCATCTTTATAATTTTCTAGATAGATAAGATTAAATTTTACTTTCTTTGTTAAATTAAAAAAACCATGATCAATTATATTTTGAACATCTTGCTCACTAAGAACTCCTTTTACTCCCCAATCTATATTTATCCCACATGCTATATTTATGTAAAAATACAAAAACACTAGAAACTTATTTAGAACCATTTCAAATTAAGTTTACACTCTATTAAGCATAATATTAATTGATCCATATTTTTAACAGACTATTAAATAATAAACATATATAATTATAATAAAAAAAGTTATATGGAATTCCCAGATGGCTATTCTAGGATAAATTTACTTATAAAAAATAAAAAATAAAATCTATGTTTCTTAATGTGAATACAAATGTTTAAATTTTATTTAATTTTATAATATTTTGGTTTCTAAACACATCAATATGTTTGAATTTAATAAGCTAGAAATAGTAAGTAAAATGTAAATTAAACTTGATATAATAATAAAATTATAAGATAATATATTGAAGGTAAATTTTGTTTGATCATGAAGAGAGCAATATAATGATCCTCATAAAATACAAAGTTATTTTTGGTTTGGGCCAAATTATTTCTTAAAAAATATGATAATTGAAGAAATTGTAAATTACAATGGAGACTATCTCATTGCTGGAAGGTTACCTTAACACATCCTCTCCATCTATATTTGTAAAAAATGCTAAGTCAATAAAAAATTTTAGTTTTTCCAATCCATTAATTGTTTATTTAGAATGCTTGAAAATACTTTGATGCTGGATTTTTTTTTTCTTATGCTCCCATTGCAATCTTTTTGGATCTTTACATAGGGATTAATATAAAATATAAATGAATAATATAAAATTAATCTAAATGAATAACAACCATTAAATGGTAGAATATCCTAGAATGTTCAAACATATTTTAAATATATCCACTCCTTACAAGTTTGCTTAAGCAAACCAAAAAATTCATAAAACTCTTAATTAATGACTTTTAAGATAATAGCTAATGGTGGGAACAGGCTTACCCGTGAACCATCATTGCACAATTCGTCATCAAACGCTAAAGAACATTCTGGCCATTTAACTCTTTGTGGGTGCAGCCAAGAGCGTGAAGCTAAAGGTCCTGGAAGAAACCATTATATTCAGGCCGAATTCTCATCATAACTAAATGCAAGAACACCCTTCAATTTCTCCAGGGAACTACTTCGAAGTCCCAAGAACTACCTGGCAAAGAGTGACAAACCTCGGGACAGAGTAAGCTTTCACGACAAGCCGTGCTTCTTTGCAACAAATCCTGCTTTTGCAAGCTCGTCTTTGCATTTCGAACGCAAGGAGCTTCCGTCCCACAGACTCGCCCAAGTCCACTATAAGAAGTACATCTTATACCGCTCACTATGAAACGGCACACAAGAACTGTGATCTTGTGTATGAACAAACTACATATACAAAGAAACTGATAGCATCTAGCCCCTAAACCAGTAATTAACCTCCTGGGATTAAGTTACTGACATAGCTGCCATGGTACTTTGCCCGCGCGAGCACTTCCTTCTGTAGAACTTCTTTTAAGACATGAAAAAATGGAACAACTTTTTCTTCAAGAACAAGAACACAGACCTGTAGTATCTTTGTGACGCTGCCGGGAGCCTGAGAGTTGAGAAAAGAGAACAATGTTAGTAGCACAAGGAAGTTTTGCGTGGAAAAGCTCTACCTTGAGAGATAAAGTATCCCAGTGGTTTGGATTCCACTGCGCCGGATCGAAGCTTGCGTTCCATGGCATTGGCATTTGGATTTCGCTCACAGGTTGGATCAGTCTCACGCTGCCTGATACAAAGGACGGACGTGAAAACTCGGAAAATACAGCGAGATTCTTACTCGTCACAAACGCTTCTTTCCAGAGGTAGCGCTCGTCCCAAGATGGTGAGCCTTCGAGAACCGGAATGTTCTTCTCCGAGCAAATTCTAGAGTTGAAAGAATGGAAAACACGGGAGCTTGGGTGAGTTCGACAAAACTTCGAATTGTTACTCGATGACAAGCTGTCTGACCGTCCCGGGTAGCACGCCATTCCCAAGCGCTGCTGTCTGGACGACGCATCTCGACCCTTCACCGACACTGGAAACTATAGCAAGAGAAAATCTTAGAAAAGAACATCAACCCAGAGAAACAGACTTACGTGCTCAAGACAACGAAGAAGTTCGTCACGAGCCCCTCGAGCAAATGCCGTCCATCGTTCGAGAGAATCACTTCGGCAGTGCTCTTGGGCATGCATTGCTCCAAAACTTGCCGTGTCCTGCGAGAGAAAGAATGGCAAGCTTATGCTTTTCAAGGAAATTATAGAGAGCTCTTACCTGACCCACTGCGAAGATTTTGCAAGAGGAGTTTCACGACTAGGACCCATGACAGAAACTTGTGCTGGAACAGTGGAAGCCGGGACGAGGCCAGTGATATGAACAGATATTTGCAGTGGTCCCTGGAAGAAAAAGAAAAATCTCTAAACCTTTGTTCTTTCTTTCACGTACCTCATCCTTATTACAAGCAAGAACAGTCACAACCAGCTCCTCTTCATCGGATCTTCTCGCCAGCGCTTCCTCCAATCCAGCATAAAGCGATGGATTCACCAGTTTCGTGAGAGCTCTTTGATCGATTGCCTTCTTCCGCATGATATGCAAGGATTGCGCGAGCCGCGCGAGATGCCTCTCCCATAGAAGCAAGCACGAAGCTCCATCCACTGTCCTGGTCGTCGTGTATGCGCCTGCATTGGAATGGAACGAGAAAGAGAAAAACATTTCCTGGCAAGATCGATCGATGGAGCGATCCATCGAATCACTGACCTTGCGGCTTCGTCTTGAGGAAAGACGCTGCGTGTCCTGGATCCAGTGGTTGCACAGCGCCATCGCTCACGAGAAGGCGCCACGCCATAGCTTTTGGCTACTGTATTTTAGGGTTCTTCCCATTTTTCCATGGACAGAGTGAGTAGCGCTGTGGGCAGGCTCAGGAACTTCGTCGGCTTCCCGGCGGATGAGGAGCTCCCGGACGAGGAAGAATCGCTCATTCCGACATTCGAGCAGGGATGGAAGCTCACGGCGCGCCAGGTATGGATTCGCTGTGCGATCGATTGATCCATTCCTCGTCACAGCTTCAAACCGATTGATCGATTGATCGCAGCGAGCGTATGGGTTTGTAGCGTGCCTGAGCCTGGGAATCTTCTGCTCCTTCCTGGTAATCTCTATCTAGTTTGATCGATCAAAGCTAAAACTTTTTATACTTTTTCTTCCAGTCTTCTCTGGTGTTCTTCCGGCCTACGAAGTTTGCTATCACTTTCACCATTGGCAATCTCTTGTCTTTGGGAAGGTTTGTTCTTTTGCTCACTCTTTCCTTCCTTCTAGTGATCTTCACTCCTTGTGGATCTTTCCACTCCTCTTTTAGTGATCTTCACTCCTTGTGGATCTTTCTACTCCTCTCTTCTAGTGATCTTCACTTCTTCATTTTCTAGTGATCTTCACTCCTTGTGGATCTTTCCACTCTCCTCCTCTAATTCATTCTTATACTTCGATCTTTCTCTCCAGTTTGATTGAGCTTGTTCTAGAAACTTTAGCTTGAGCTCTCTCACTCGTTTATGTTTTTTTTTTTTGCTCGTGAAATGTCTCCATCAGTACAGGATTTTTGGTCGGACCAAGGAAGCAACTGGACATGATGTTTGATCCCGTGCGCATTCTTTCCACCGCCATCTACATTTTCAGTATCTTCCTAGCCCTCTTCTGTGCTCTCCATGTAAAATCACTAGATTGCTTTGATTTTTTCTTCCATCGCTGGAAGGTTCTCTACTAACACTCCAAATTTATTTTTTCCTTTCTTCCAGCTCCACGATCGATTGCTCACGATCTTATCCATCATCATCCAGGCGTTCGCTCTAATCTGGTAAATAAAAAATCCAGTGACAATGTTGATTGTTTGAAACCATCATCGTTTTCTTCTTGGTTTTTTTTTTCCAGGTACAGTCTCAGCTACATTCCATTTGCGCAGTCTGCCGCGAGAGGATGGATCCTCTCAACCTTCCAGCTTTGAAAAACGAATATTCTCTGTGCAGTGTTGTGGATATGCTTGGTTTCGAATTTTTCCCGCCATTTTGTGGAAGAACCCTATTTTGGTTTCTTGTTTATATTTTCGAGCTAGGACGGGCGAGCGTTGAGGAAGCCATGACGATGGCGGCGCTGGCACGGGCAAGGCGACGCTGGCGGCGGAGGTACGTAACGTGCGCGGAAGAATCCGTTTCGTCGCCATTCGAAATCAGGGATCTTGGTTGAGGAAACCTAGATTCTTGTCACGGGAATCCTGACCGGCTGAGGCCCTGTGCGTGATTTTTTTACGCTCTTGTTTGCTTTCCCTTGTTTCTTTATCTCCGGTTTGAATCTGGAGGGAAATCGCTAGATTTCGTTGGCCTGATCCTTTCTTCTTCTACCAGGTCGAGCGATTGGTGGGAACCCGGACCGCGATTTCAAGTCTCAACCAATTGTAAGTCTCTCGCAATTCTCTTCACCATTCTGAGCTGAATTTTCTCTCTTCTCTCTGTTTTTTTTTTTTTTTTCCAGATTCACGATGGCTCCTCTACGAGAGAGATTGTCTCACGAGTCCATCGTCGAGAATGGGAAGCTCCGAGACGGTGCAGCGTTGCTGAAAGCAGTGGTCTCGATCGCGAATGGTTACGCCAAGACCCTTCTCAGGAATTCGCAAGACCGTGAGTGGCTCAAGCATCTCGCGAGGCAGAACGCGGCCAATGGTAGCTACCATGAACACGCCGAGCACGCGAATCTCAGCTGGGCTGTCGATGGTTTCGAAAAGGCCGTCCTTTCTGTGAAGGATGTCCACGGTGAAGAGCTCGAGCGAGCAGTCAGGTACCTCAAGCTGCTGGGAAGGTCTCGGAATTCTTTCGTCTCGGCGTCGGCACACTTGTACCTGGCTCTGGTCTGGCTGGTGCGACACAATCCTTACAAAGTGGCTTGGCACATCCTCCAGATGTTCAACGTTGGTCCTCGCATCTCGCGAAGTGAGTTCGCTCCCACCCTCTGGAAGCAGTTATTTCTCCCTCGGTTTTCCAAGTTGGAGGAGTGGTATAGCAAGGAGACCGGAAATCCGTCGACACAGAAGGTGCCTTCCTCCGGAAAGATTTCTCCACGGCAGTCGTCTTATTCGATTGAGGCGCTGTATACAGACTTGAAAGGCTTTTGGCATCAGCTTCACCCGTCTAGTGCTCGATCGGGACCTCTGGACCAGCTGTGCCTTGAGCGTGAGGAAAAACTACATGTTCTCAGGAGTCTTTATCAGGAATCTCTGGACGAGAACACGAAGGCTTTTGCGGGTTTTTATCAGTATGCGATCTCTCAACACCGCAAAGGCGGCACCTTGAAGTTCCCGTCTGTGAAAACTCCTCAAATTCGGCTTCAATACGTGCAGCGAGAGTTTTTATCAAGGAGCAATTTGGTGGCACCGTCTGAACGGTAAGGCCTTTCAAGTTTCTGCTGGCTAAGCTTACTCTCTCTCGTTCTCTTTCTTTTTGTAGAAACAAAACGAAGGCGAAGGAAAACGTTTGCCCGAGTATTGGAAATATTATGGAATCTCCGACAACACCGAAGGAGGTACCTAACTAAATCTAGATCATTCCCGCTGAATAAACGTTATCGTTTCAGACAAAGAAGCCATCAATGTCGAACGGTAATGAACTTGGCTCTTGGAGAGTACGGTCCGGAAGTGAAATGGTATGTTTGGCAACTTGGCATTTTTCTTTTCTCAATATATATACGGTTCTGTAGGACAATGGATCACCAGCCTATTCGACTGTGAGGTGAGTAGTTTTTCTTCTACTTTCCCGTCTGTCCCTTGAGGATAACACCAGTATTGCTTTCATGCAGCCAATCCTCGCCTTTCTCGTCTACGGAAAATTCTACGGACAAAAAGATACCCCTGGCCGAGACACCGATAAAGCTTGATACTTCGAAGAATATGGAGGATCTGAGGAAAGCCGTTGCAACGTTGTGTTCCGTCGAGAACCTCCAAGATTGCGAGCAAGTTGTTCCAGTCATTGCCCGCGTCTGGATGGAATCCAAAGGCAATCCTCGTCTCGAAGCCTTCTTGACCAAGCCGGTAGTCATCGATGTCATGATGGAGTTCATGGTTACGTCCAAGTCCCTGCAAACGCAAAGAACAGCGGTTTGCCTGCTAACCGAGTTCGTCCACAACAACGAGGCTGTTCGGCGGCGGATAGTAGACTACGACCCAAGTCTCGGATGGGTGAGCAAGACTCTCCAACAAGGCAGGATTCCACAGGCAGTGGTTCTTCTCTACTTGCTCAAGCTCCCCTCGCCAGAGCTCGAGGCTCTCCAGCTCGTCCCCGCGCTCGTGGAAGTCCTCCAGGAACAGGTTGTGGTGGATCGGACCTCTCCGGCCCTCCGGGCTCCAAGAGCAGCGGCGATCTTTCTCTTGGAGCAGCTCGTCTCTTTCGACCTTTGCGCGATCGCCAAGGTGTCCGAGGGGGCTGCACCGTATCTCCTCCAGTGCCTCGAGTCCGAGACGCCCGAAGAGCAAGTGAGCGTGATGGTGATCCTGCTGTGCTGCATGGAGGCGGACCAGACGTGTAGCGACTTCATCGCGCAGCATTGCAAGCCGTCCAAGCTGATGCAGCTGGTGCAATCGCACGACAGCCGGTCCAGGGAGATCGCCATCGCCTTCGTTCACAGCTTGCTCCTGGCACGCAAAAAGTTGTAAAAAGATAGCTTGGTTTTGTTCTCCACAACTCGAGGGATAGCGCTATGTTTTTAAAGAGAAGGGTTTAAGTATTAGTTTGTTGATCGTTGACGTTATAGTTGACCAAATATTTCGCTTTAATCCTCTGATCGATTACATTTATACTGCTCGCCCTCTCTTACGGGATCTTGCGGGAAGGCCCAGCTTTAGCACACTAGCTCCTGCCTTGAAAGTGAAACTGCTTCTATGTGCATGGCACAGAAACCTGGAAGAGGAGCTCTGGCAATCCCAAACTATACCCTTGCCCATTTCAGAGATCTCCAAACCTGCCACTATGATGGCACGGCTACCTTGGCAAACATCTATGAACACAAACATCAATTCGAACAGCAAACCTGTGGATGCAGCGCCCAGCACCACCTTCCTTTCAACTCGAGCACCTTTCCGACCCTTCTCGGCCCTGTCCAGAACCTGGCCGTGTGCCTCTTCAAGCTTGGAGAGGTCGTCTTTGATCTCCACATAGATGTCACAGCTCTCGTATGCATTATCCGTGAAAAACATAGTGCCTGGACGGAAGATCAAGTCGGGCAACTTGATGCCATCTGCTGGGCATGAATCAGATCTTGGAGCTTTGTTCCTTTGGTACTGGCAGTACTTCGTAAAGTTGAGCCTTGTGTGGTGCAGTGGCTGAGCACGAATCGTGCTGCATGCTGGTAGACCCTTCTGAGAGCGTCATACGATTCATCCCACTAAATGAAAGTATGTAGCCAAACTCCCAAACTTGTAGCTAAGGAGTAAAGGATTTAGAGCATGAAGTGACACCTGAGCATTCAGCCTAAGGAGCAAAGGGATAGAAGCACTATTATGCACTAATTTTGACCACGTGATCAACATCGGTTAAAGGGAGGCTTAAAAGTATATTAAGGCATATTAGGGTAAAGAACTTGGCAGTGTAGTGGAGCTTTTGAGGTAGCTCAAGGGTGGTTGGGTGGTGAGGAACCTCAAGAGGAGGCATAGTGTAGTCTAGGAAGACTAAATCTTTGTCTTTTCGTGCCAAATCATAACATTGGTATCAGAAGAGTTGGTTGCAATGGTCGACCAACTTAAACACTAGAATTCTATTGTTAATGGTGGTGCTGAAGATGATTCCAATAGAGATGCAAAGGTTTAGACCATTCAAGATGTTGTTCATGAGCTGTGAACCT